TGGTGTGAGAGTGCATGTAGATAGCGGTTTGTATGTGTTTTCTTCTGGTAGATGGTGTGTCCTAGGGAGCCATTGGATCTTTTCTATACCAAGACATCTAGGAAGGGAAGTTGATTGTTGGCTTCTGTTTCCATGGTGAATTGTATTTTGGAGTGTAGGCTGTTGAGATGTGTGAGGAAGTTGTTCAGTTTTTCTTTCCCATGTGGCCAGATTATGAAGGTGTCATCTATGTATCTGAGCCAGAGTTTGGGTTTGTGATCATATTTTTCTAGAGCTTGTGTTTCAAAGTGTTTCATGTAGAGGTTTGCGATGACAGGTGAGAGGGGTGATCCCATGGGTGCTCCTTCTATTTGTTTGTATTTTTGTCCGTTGTAGGTGAAGTATGTATTGGATAGGCAGTAGTTGGTCAGATCTAGGATGTGCTTGGGGGGGTTGTATTTGTTTTGGATGGCTGTCAAGGCTTCTTTTATTGCCACTTGGGTGAAGAGGGATATGACATCGAAGCTCACTAGTAGGTCGCTGGGTTGTAAGTTTTGTTTCTTTATGATTTCAATGAACTGGAATGAGTTTCTTACGTGTGAGTTGATGGATTCTGCATAGGGTTGTAGTTGTTTGGTGAGAAATTTGGCTAGGTTTTGTAGAGGTGAGTCTATGGAGCTGACTATTGGTCTGAGTGGGGTTCCTTCTTTGTGTATCTTGGGGAGACTATAAAGCTTAGGGCACCACGAACTCGAAGCCAAACAGCAAGATCACAGCTCACCAACTCAAATCCCTTAGAAACTAAGACTAACCTGACCACAACCAAGCCCCCACCTGAACAGAACATGCCTCCAGCCAATCAGAACAAGGCCAACCCCTCTACCAATGAGAACACACACACACACAATCAGAACACAGCCAAGCCCCCACCCAATCAAGTCACACCCCCACTAGCAGTTAAAGGGAAGAAGCAGCTGCAAACTCACATCACTCTGAGAAGCACAGAGCCAAAGACAGAAGCCTGAAGATGATGAATGAGACTTCTTGGGAAAGGTTGCCAAGATACTGCCAATCTTACATGGGAGAAAACCCGAACAACCAAAGATCCACATACAAATACCTGCGAAAACCTCATATATATATATATACACATACATACATACATACATACATACATACATACATACACATATATACACATACATACATACATACATACACTCTTAAGGTTTACACACACTCACTGATCATTCCCACAATCAATCTCAGTTAAATAGGGGAAGGCACGAATTCTTAGGAATAAACTGGTTGCATAGAAGACAGAGAAAGAGACACAGAAAGATAGATTGTTTTTTTAAAAAAATCACATGTGATCCTGTTTTATATATTGCCCTTTTAAGTACCTTTATCTAGCCAAATTGTTCTTCCTGTATCCCTCAGCAAAGCCCATTCTCTACATACACATTTTGCTTTTTGCTTTTTTCATCCCAGCTACAGTCAGCATCTGCTGCTTACCAAATTGTTGGAAGAAATATCCTTCTGGGTTCAGTTCCAAGTGGGAAAAAGATACTGGAAACATGGAGGCTGTTTGGAAGGTTTAATGCTGTACAGGACCACATGGCCTGGAGTGCCGGAATGAAAAGAAAGGATGATCACATTCTTCAAGGTGAAGGAAGAGATCACGATGGGCTGATATGCTGGGAGTGCCTGGGTTGTATAATCTTTGTGGGATTTGAATTGAAGCTTGCATTCTGATTGGTTGTCAGACTCCCACGGGGCCATGCAGGGGCAATTCTGAGGCTGTCCTGAGTTCCAGGCTTGGTTGAGACCTGCTGGATGATGATGCACTGAAAGAGCTTTTGGCAATTGCTATAGCTTTACCTGGAGATTTTTATTATGTAAAGTATTCTGGCCCAGGCTTTAATGGGCCACCCATTAACAAAGGTTGGGGTGAGCTTCTACTTCTGAGGTGAGTTTCTGCTTCTGAGTTTCTACTCTTTTTAGGGGAAATATTCTGCCTTTTTAATATATCCTATTTCAATTTTCTAGGAGAGGGGTGGGTTTCACTTCAGGGCCATTCCTTAAGGGAATTGCTAGCCCAGTGAAGGTAGCAGTATATTCACTGGGTTCATTTTCATTTTCTAGTCAGGGAAATTTTTCATCCCTTCCCCTTCCCTGGGCCCATTGAAATCTATCATTATCTCTATGCTCTGTGCCCTATTTTACCACATTTATAGCAATGTTGGCACCTATCTTGGGGCCATCCTCTCTGCCTACATTGCCAGCATCCCTGCCAAATACCAGCAGTCCTTTGCTGTACTTGCCTGGCATTATGGTGCATGGGAACAAAAACACTTAGCTCTTCATGTCTCTCTATCTTCCTTTTCCTATCTTTTTCTTCCTCTTTTAATTTATCCCTTTGATTATAAATGAAGCTTGAGAGCCTGCGCAACTCTGCTATTTCCAAAGTGAGCCAGTTGGTTACAATATGGTGGAAATGATCCCTGATGTCACTAGTAGCCTGGTTTACAAAGGCTGAGGCTAAAAATCTCTGGTCCTTTTGGATGCTTGGGTCTAGGTGGACATATGTCACAGCTGCCTCTGAGAGATGAACCCAAAAGGCATCAGGATTTTCTTTTTCCCTTTGGGTTGTCTTTTGGAATTTTGACCAGATGAGGGGCTTTTTTCCTATTCCCTCTAGGGCTTCCATTAGATTACCTTTTGCCCTTTTGTAGTTCTCCCACTGATTAGCATTATTGTAATCCCAATCAGGGCACTGAGTTGGCCATGCAACTCTTGCCTGGGCAGCCTGTCCTGGGATAATAGGTTGGTTGGCTATTTGTGTTATTTTCTCAAATAGTTTCAAGAGTTCATCCTGAGTTAGGAAAACATGCAGTAACTGATTGATGTCTTACCAGGATGGGTTGTGGCTCTCTATTATTGATTTCAGGGTTCGCATTACAGCTTGAGGCTCTGCCCTGAATGTTGGTGTGTCTTTTCTTCCAAATAACAAGCTCTGAGACAGAGAAGGGAGTGTGTGTCCAACTATCTGCCCCTACCTCCTCCCATTACTGGTTTGCTCAGTAGGGGAGCCATTATTTTTGTCTCAGTTTTCTCTTCCAAGAAATAGGTTTCTACATTAGCTTGATCTTTCCCTATAGATCTTTGGTTCTGGCTAGTTAAGGCCATCAATACCAGTAGGATATTTGGCTGGACTTGATTCAGGGTCTAAGCACTTTTAAAATTTTAAAATCAAAAGTACCACTGTCAGATCAAATTTGCCTCCCACTGTCATCCCTTAGAAAAGCCCCTTTTCTACATATCTTCTTTGCTTTCCTCTTATTCATACTGGCCAGGACTGACATCTGTTTTTCATCCCATGCCTCAAGCAAATTTTCTAAAGAGGTATCTACCACCCTAGAGCTGCAACTTCCAATGTTTTCCCTTCTGGTGTGGGGTGTGACACTTTGTTTGCAGCCGGGCTACATGTCAGTTTTCAGGGGGGGAAAGTCTGAAGAGGACCCTGGTTCCCTCACAAAGTAGATGCACCTCTTTTCTTAGGGAATTCTCCACCACTGGTTTGGGAATCAGGGAGGACCTGCTGCCCCCAACACAGGTTAGTGGGGTGGGGAAGGAATGGGATTTTGGAGGATCCTTCCCTGACACTCAACCAAGCCACATCACTCCCACCAAGCCATGCCCACAGAACCAGTAGTAAAAAAAATTGAATCCCACCACTGCTCCAGATACTAATGGGGACAGATGAAAAATTGATTTAAAAAGCATATAATTGTCCATTGATGTTCAAAATGGAGGAGGAACAAGTCAAAGAAACAATGATTATTGGGGCAAAAAAGTTCAGTTATAATATAGAACTAGAAAAGTGGCAAAAACTATGGGATAGGAAGTCTAAATTGACGATGGCTTCAGAAAATTTATATAAACTATTTTATAGCTGGCATCTACCACTGGCACAATTGGCAAAAATGTTCGGTAACTTGTCTGCAAAATGGTGGAAATGAAAGCATATCTGAGGGATTTACAACCACATGAAGTGGACATGCATCAAAGCAAAAGAATACTGGGAGAAGATAAAGAGCCGGTGGGAAAAAATAATTAAGCAGAAGAAAGATTGGAAACCAGAAGTATATTTGCTGGACATAATCCTAGAAGATTATGATATAGGAGCTGCATATTTAACTTTGCATATAATGACAGTAGCAAGGATTAACTATGCACAATTCTGGAAAAATGAGAATTCCCCGCCAGACAGGGAGGTAAAATTTTAGAATGTGCTGAGATGGAAAGATTAACCTTAAAAAAAAAAGAAGAAGACTCAGAATAGAATAGAATTCTTTATTGGCCAAGTATGATTGGACATACAAGGAAATACTACTTGATGTGGAATAAATTCTATGGCTGGTTAAAGACAAGGGGTAGCGATTAGAGAAAAAAAAAGAATGTTATTATTAAAAACAGAAATGATGTATAACTTCAATATTATATGATATTACAGTATAAGTATTCTTATTAGAAAATGGAGCATTATTTTTTTATAGTAGTAGTTATGGTTCTTATTCTTTGTAAAAACAGATTCGGACAAAATGCTGTATTCAAAAATGTTTAAAAAATTTAAAAACTAAAAAAGGAATGGATAGTATAACAATGATGAACATGTCTCTGCAAATATTGGACATCATTTGAGCAAAACTCTAAAATATAATAACAGGGAACAAGAAAGCTAGATGACCAAAATCAAACTCAATGGATGTTTTGAAAAGAAGAAAAGACATGGTAAAAGAATCTAGAAAAATTATGATCACATGGCAATATCAGCATTTCTTCGGGAATGTGCACATTATAGATTTTAATAATCATAAATAATATACACAAATACTTCTTTGTCAAAAATAAAAAATAACTGTTTCTCTAACTTTATATACAATATACTTTCTACAGATAGCATATTTTCTATTTCTTTTTTAGGCAATCTCTCTGACCCAGTAATATCACACGATGAACTACTTTCTCTTTGTGAGTTGTTCCCTTTGGTTGAGATCAGGTCTAAAAACAATGATGTAGCATTTTGGCAAGAATATGCATCCCAGTAAAGCAGCACTGGAGGAAAAGATGGAGAAGACCTCCACAGCTACCATGGTTTTTCCTTTTGTGCTCAGATAGGCTGGAAAGAAGGAGATCCACACACTGCAAAAAGCCAACATGCTGAAGGTGATGAACTTGGCTTCATTAAAGCTGTCAGGTAATTTACGGGCAAGGAAAGCCACAATAAAGCTTGCAATGGTCAAGATACCCAGGTAGCCCAAGACACAGTAAAAGAAGAAAGGTGCCCCCTCATTGCATTGTAAAGTCATTTCTTGGTACTCTGTGTGCATGTCCAACTCAGGGAATGGGGGAAAAGTTGACAACCAAAGAATACAAATAGATACTTGGAACAGGGAGCAGGAAAGAACAGTACAAAAAGCCAATCTATTCCCCACCCATTTCCTCATTTGAGATCCTGGTTTAGTGGCCATGAAGGCAACAACCACGGTGATGGTTTTGGCCAGGACACTAGAAATGGCCACTGAGAAAGTGATGCCAAACACTGATTGTCGGAGAAGGCAGGTCACTTTGTTGGGCTGGCTTAGGAAGAAGAAAGAGGAGAGAAAACAGAGCAGAAGAGAGACAAGGAGGGTGTAGGTTATGGACCGGTTGTTGGCTTTGACAATAGGTGTATTCCTGTACTTAATAAATGTTCCAAATACCCATGATGTCAAGAAGAAGAAACCAAGCACTGCTGAGGCTAAAACTATTCCTAAGGTATCTTCAAAAGTTAGAAAAACCAGCAGTTTCAGGATACATCCTTTCTTTTCTTTATTTGGATAATGATCTTCTGAACATTTAAAACAATCCTCCATATCTGGAAAGAAAATCAAGGATATGTTTTTTTTTCATCTGGGCATTCCATATGGGGTGATTGGTCTCTCAACTTGCTTGTTTCCTTGCAGACATTTTATTACCCTAGCTAGTTAACATCATCAGTTATAGTAAGGAGTGCTGTTTACTGTCAGTTTATATTCTGGTGTCTTGCCTGTCTGTGTGGATAGGGGCAGTCTTAGAGATTCTTTGGTTGGGCTCTTTATTGATGGCTCTTTGGCAGTTTTTTGATTGGGATATTGTTTACTTGATAGTTGGTCTGATTAACTTTGGAGTTAATCTATACAAATCTGGGTGCTGATTATTGGTGTGGAGCTTCTGGAGTCCTTCTGTTTTCTCTTGGGTATGTTGGTTGTCTCTTTTGCACAATTTATAAATATTGTTAATGTCTATGTGTCTACTGTGGTTCATTTGTCAGAGTGCCAAGCTTTTAGAACTTCTATTCTGTTTTTGGACTTAGCTTGGTATAGCAAGTTCACATTTATCCAATTGAAACTATGCTAAGTCTGTCTATATGTTGTGAAATATAAGAGTTTCCATCAGGTCTTCTTAATGTTCAGGAATACATTCTACCAATTTTCTGTCTTTTTGTCCCACATAGTGGTTGTTGGAATCCTTGCATTATATGTTGTAGGTGACTCCTGCTTTTTCTTCTAGGGCTGCTGGGTCCTTTGTTTTTCTTAGAGTGTTTTGAAGGGGTTTAGTTAGCTAGTGGACTACACTGATTCCATTCAGTTGCATAGATTGTTGGTGGCTTTTGAGATATTCTTGATGTATGGCTGCATATTTATTTTTAGGGTTAGTGTTGGTTGTGCTATACAGGGTTGAGTGGTCAGGGACATTTTATATAGTTGTGTGAGTATACATTTTGTTGGAATGTGTTGTATAGATGCTCCATTTTTTTCTGCGATTCTAGGTTGTTGTAGTGTGTTTGGGCTCATTTAAATAAAATTCATTCACTGGATACCCATACAACTAACAGCAAACAGCACTCCTTACTAGACTTGATGATATTACCTATTTAGGATAATGAAATATCTGCAACAAAACAAGCAATCCCAGAGAGTACCAAGGATCACCTTATTAAGTTTAGGCATCCCAGTAGTTTATTAAAGTTTCTTTAAGCCTAATGAAATATGGTAGTATTCCTACCCTACCATTTTGATTTGAAATCTTCCCTTCTGAGCATGGAACACAGTCATAGCAGCAGAACTGATCCCCCTCAATCCTTTTCTTCTGAGATCCAGGGAAACAAGGGTCATTGCAATGAGAAAGTGGAAGGACCTGGTGATAACCACAGAAGGTTTTAAAATTGGAGATATTTAACAGAGTTTGTAATTTTATTCCTTTATGGAGGGGGGTGATAATTTGTTTGCTAAAGGATAGATAAAAGGATAGATGTAGGAATTTTTAAAAAGTAGAAATTAGATGTCAAGCCTGAAATTGACATATGTGTAGCCATTTTAGTTAGGCTTAATATGTATTCTTTTTCTTACTTTCTCTGTGGCAGTCCTGGGGGGAAGGGTTTATGGCTTGTCACATTCCTAAGTGGTGAGGAGTGGCTAGGTGAATATCCTTCTCCTGGGGCCCATTGAGGTAGAGATTTATACACCAAGCAACATTGAATTACTTCTATTGGAGAATGTGACTTTTGGGGATTGTTTCTAACTCTTAATATTGTGGGGTAATTCTGGGTTGTGTCAGATCTGGAATTACCCTGGACTTTGACAATTTGATGCTTTCCTAAATAATTTGCTTTGAAAGATGGAATTTGGTTTTCTTTTTAAATGGATTTCATCACTTGGGAAAACTGACATTAGAACGATTTGAAAAATTTCCTGTTTGAAAGTCAGGGCGAGCAAATGATAATAATGAAAACAGGATTTTGTATTGTAATATCACTTTGTCAATTTAATGAGTATTTGTTCATCAGCCACATTTGTTTCTTTAAAATCCAGATATTAGATTTTGAAAGAGACTAGGGATCATAACGGATTAAGCATGGTCAATTCACTTATTCAATACCCAATACCTGGTTCAAAGCCGGATTCCAGACAATCACATCTTCATCAATAAATAATTCCTTCCCTTTTGGAGCCTGTAAATCCAGCTTTCCAACTCTAACTCTCTGAAAAGATCTGTTTGGAAAAGTGATCAAGTTGGTGATGTCAAATCCACCTTTTGCTTCTCCTTTCTCATTCAGGAACATTGTCTCTCCAGCTGAATTGTTGAAAGAAATGCCTTGAAGAAATGAATGGAGCTACTCGAAACAGAATGGAAGAGATAGACAATTGAAGCAACACAGAGAAGGACAACATATTCAAATTTCATTCAATCATTCTTCATATTCCAATAACTATTATTAAACATGTTCACTTAGAAATTTGATAATCAATATTGCATGGAAATGTACATGTGCACTCCATTATTTGTTTCATATTATTTTACGGAAAGGTAGGAATGAAATGAAGCACAATGAAAATAAGCTCTTGGAATTCTGCAAAGTGCTTTAGGTTTTATGTCCACTACTTAAGCAACTAATTCAAGATAGAGCATATATATTTCATCATTGGTACAAAGCTATTTGAGAATCCGATTAATTTCTTTTAGCCAATATTTTAGAATCTGAGACTTAAACATTCTTTCATAGATAAATGAGAACCAAAGACTATTGCAAACATAGAGTTGTTTCAAACTATGCTTGCCAAATATAAGAAGGACCACTACTTCATTCCTCTAAACCCCTGATAGGGACTGAAAGCTAAACTTTGAAAAGTTCAAGAGCCACACAAAAGATCTTAGAGAATGGATTCTTTTGGGAAGAGATAGTAAAAAGTAATGTAAATTATTATTTAAACTAACTCTTATTGTGTAATCTATGGTGACTTATTAAATAATTCCTACTGGCACCTAAAGCATGATTTTTATTGTAGTTCTGGATTTTCAGAATAGCAGAACACCTGAATGAAAAAATAACAACCCGGACCAGTTTTTCTGTATCAGTTTTATACAACACAATATAATTTCTATGTTTTTCTCAAATATAAGTTTATTCTACATGCAGAAAATATTAAGACTCAGTTCAAAACATAATTCTACATCAAATTGCTCATTGAGATAAAAGAAGAGTCCAATTCAAGGAGAATACCTGCCAAACCTGCAGATTTGGAAGATCAGTTTTTTTATCCATCCTAATTTTCCTCCTATTGAACCCCGACATGTGTAGAGCCTGCAAAGCATGAGCCACAGCATGAACAGCATTGTAGACACTGTAGCTTTGTCCAGTCATTTCCATTTCAAATAGAGGTGCAGGAAGATCCTCCAATTTCATCTCCCCAGTGCACTGCCTATTGTCCATTCCTTGTAATTCTGGTTTTGGAAATGAACAATCAAATGACTGTTCCCAAACATTCTGGCGAAACCCATCTCTGTAGTCTGAAAGAGGATTTATGGTCCGAAGAAATTCCTTGAAACCTGCAACTGCTGTTGAGTGAACAGTGAAGGAAATAGCCCCATTGTACATCTTTAGATCCCATTTAATTTGAATGCCTGCTAATATAAAATCAATCTGTGCAGTCATAACCCACACCCTTCTTAATAATGCAGTTTTCTTGCTTTCAGGATCTACCATAAATGTTGCAAATCTTAGCCATATAATTGTCCAGGCTTCTCCATAGACAAGAAACACATTGGCTTTGCTATTTATCATATTAATAGAAATAATGTAGATTATTTGAAAAAATTCTGTGACTCTTTCCATGTGGAGTTGTTGATCAAGTCTTTCTATAAATGCTGAGCAGATTCCATTCTCTGAAAGTAAGTGCTCCATTTTCTGTAAGAAATTTTCTCCATTGTTGTTATCAACAGAAAATATGCCAATCCACGTCCACCTGAAATGACGAAGCAGTTGGATAATCCCAATGTACTGATGGTGCTCTTTGGGGACCATGAAATAAAGTGAAGAGAGCTTACTGGTCTCAAATTCCTCTTGAGCTATTGAGCCATATGTCAGCTAAAAGAAAATATGAAAGTATTCTATTGAGTCTTTAAGTTTCATTTTCCTATCTTGTTTTCATATTAAATATATGCAAGGAACATTTTTCCTCTAGAATTCTTTTAAGCATATAGTAACAAGTTTCTTGGACTTGAAGACCTCCAAAGTTCAACTCTGCTATTTTGAGGATATCCTAATTGTGTGAAAATATTTTAAAGACATGTACTAGATCAATTGTTTTAATAGAAGCCATTCAAATCTTCTCTCAGGTATGGATACTCACTTCCTGAAATGGGCATTATCATTTCAGAAAAGAATGCCAAGCAGTAGACCTTAAGTCATTTAGAATATCTTAGCTGAAACCTTCACTATGCAGAATATCTTGACAGAAAACTAAGGTTAATTTTTATGGCCATTAATTATTCCATAACAACAATTAATTATTTTATGCTGAATCCATTCAGAACTTACTTGTGGAATCTTGAAGAATTGTACAATTTCAGCTATATAAGATGATGTGACAAAATCTAGTCCCCCAATGATAGCTATGAGAGTCTTATTGCGATTACATTTATAGTTAGGGACAAATTGTTGGGATTTAAAAATAAGGTCCAGAGTGGTGCGATAGGTCATCCTTGAATCATAGTAGCTGTCATAGATGTGGAATCCCAGGGTGATGTTAGGTAAGATCTGGGAATCCTCATTGATCTCCTTCACAGCAAAGGCCAAGGCAAGGATGTGCTGGTAGAATTTGATTATTACACTGAAAATGATTTCAATATCCCAATTGAAGTATCAGCCATTTATTGTATATATGTTTGGTCAGAGTGACAATACAGCCTTTTTTTAAAAAAATTACCTTAATCTTACTAAATGTTCTTGAAAAAGATGTTTTACACTAAAGTTTCATACATAGTATGACAAACACCTCACCATAAAGTAAAGATAAAAGGTTTATTCTCCTGTAACTAAAAACATTTGGAAGATAGACTTTGATTTGATATGAGACCTACATTTATACTTAGAACCTTTTACTCGCATAAGCTATTTTTGAGAAACTGATTAAGATTAGAAAAAGAAAAAAGAATCCTTACCTTGGTTCATCATAAGATGTTATATAAGGATGTTCCTTAAAATTAATTTCATAAAGGTTGCAATAGGTATGGGACACTATCCCACCAATAACGAAGTCCCCAGGTTGGTACCACTCATGTGGAATAAGGAAAGCATCACTTGCAGGGCAGCTCAGAGTCACTCCTTTGTTCACCAGAAAAATCAGGAGGAGCAACATCTTCCCTCTTGAAAACATCTGTCTTTTTCATCGTATCCTAAAGGAAAGGTTGTATTATTCCAATAGCTATTACAGTAATTAATTCAAGGTGTATATCTGAGAGTGCATATATTGAGAAAATATACCATTGGGTATTTGGAGATCCATGAGAGTGCAAATTCATGTATGGAATAGCATCAGGGTTTGAACACGTATTCTGGCAGAGAAGAATAGAGGCAGGAAACCCATTGACATGACTCTGACACACAGCCATTATTATCCTTGTGCCAATCCCTTTGGGTTCAAAATACATTGATTGTTGTTGAATTGAAATAGCCCTCTGTGTAATCTTGGATATTTTTGCCTAGTGAAAAAATTGTGGTGATTTTTGTAGGAGATAATTACTTTGTTTGTGATGAAAGAATAAGTGTCTGACCTTTAAATGCTTTTTGAAATGCACAATTGCCAATAAAATGTACACAGGAGAATTTGCAGTACAAAATACACCTCTTTGTTGAAATTTATGTTGTGTTTCTTACAATTAATGGTAAATGCAGTTCATTTTTTTTGTACAGTATCGACACGCATAGACTTTTGGGCATTCCCTCTTTTAAGGAATTTTCCATTCTTTCCAGATCCCCCTATAATAGAAGGGGGCACCACTTTTGTTTCTACAATGTACAGTAGAAAGTTAGCACCTACTCCTCTCCTAGAAGAATGAAATATTTTAGGAAATATTAAAAAGGCTGAATATTTCCCCTAAAAGAGAAATAAAAATCTTAAAGGAAACAGAAACTCAGCTTCAGCTCCCTGCTCCTAGCAGGTATTTTGGTACCAACAGCCAGCCTATCTACAAGACAAAAGACATTCACCCCCAGGACCTAATAGGAACAGCCTTCTACCCATCTTGCAGTAGAGCTCTCTACATGGAACCTTGGGACATTACATCAGCCCAACATTTAACCAAACTTGATTCCAACAGCCTAAAAACTATGATCTTAAAAACAACAATCTCTAATCCCTTGATTGGCAATTCTATTCACTGGATGCAATTCTGTAGAAGACCATTACAATATATTTTTACTTGAAGTCAAAAGAGTCATCAAACTATATGTACCAATAACAACTCCCAAAACCAGAAAAAACAAAAACAAATTACCCATAACAATAAGGAAGCTTCAATCCCAAAAGAAATCACTTTGGCAGAAAAACAAATCTGGTCACATTGCCAACTTTAAAAACAGATAGAAAAATTTATGCCACCAGATAAAGACTGAATGCACCAATTATCACATTAAACAAGAGGAAAACCTTCTACGCACCAATTCCACGTACGCTTTCTATAATTTGGTAAACAACAAACTAAAAGACTCAAGGTCCATCCCACCCCTAAAAGGACCTAATGATAAAGACTGCAATGACGATACCTTTAAAGGCAACCTCTTTAACACATTCTTTGGCTCAGTACTTGTCAACAACAATGGATCATGCCCAGTATTTCCTAGTCAAACCACAGACAACTACAATGATCTAATATATATCGATTTTACAGAAGACAATTTTGAAAAAGCACTATGCAATCTAAAACCATCTCTATCTATTGGACCGGAGGGAATAGGGGCCTACTTCTTAAAAAGGCTATCCACTGCCATAGCCAAACCTCTAAAGCATAATATTTGAAAAGTCTTTCAGGACCAGCACCTTGCCAAACTGTGGTCACAATCCACAGTCATCCCCATCTTCAAAAAGGGAGATCCCAGCCTAGTTAAAAATTACAGACCAATCTCTTTATGCTGCGTCACCTGTAAAGTCATGGAATCAATTATTAACCAATCCATCATCCTCCACTTAGAAGCAAACAGCCTACTCTCTAATAAACAATTTGGTTTCAGGAAAAAACTATTCTGTAATGTTCAACTCTTAAACTGGAAAAACATATGGACTACACAACATGATCAGGGCAAAGCAATAGATGCAATCTACATGGACTTCTGTAAAGCCTTTGTTTCAGTGGTACATGACAAACTACTCCTAAAACTAAAATCTTATGGTATCTCTGGACACCTGCACAACTGGATAGAAGCATTGCTGTCAAACAGACAACAAATGGTCAAAATTGGGAGTGTCCTACCAAATTCTGCACCTGTCAACAGTGGTGTTCCCCAAGGCAGTGTTCTAGGACCAACTCTCTTCATACTCTACATAAATGAACTCTGTGATCATATTAAGAGCAACTGCGTTCTCTTCGCTGATGATGTAAAAGTATTCAACACCACAGACAATACTGCTACCCTTCAAAAAGACCTTGACTATGTATCAGAATGGTCAAACAAATGGCAACTTCAAATCTCAACAAAATTGCTCTGTCTTACATATTGGCAAAAAAAAAAAATCAGAAAATAAAATACAGGCTGAAGAGTCAAGACTTTGTTGATGATCCAAACTCTGTCAAGGATCTTGGAGTATTCATCTCTAATGATCTAAGTGCTAGAGCCCACTGTAATTACATAGCCAAAAAGGCGTTAAGAGTTATTAACCTAATCTTATGTAGCTTTTTCTGTGGTAATATTACACTACTAATTAGAGCATACAAAACATTTGCTATACTCGAATACAGCTCACCAGTCTGGAACCCACATTACATATCTGATATTAACACAGTTGAGAAAGTCTAGAAATATTTCACAAGAAGAGTTCTCCATGCCTCTACTCATTGCAGAATATCTTATGCCACCAGACTCTACCTAGAAAATTAGAACTACGCCGCCTTCGGTCCAATCTAAGTATAGTATATAAAATCATACATTGCAATGTCCTACCTTTCAATGAATACTTCAGTTTCAACCATAACAATACAAGAGCAAGCAATAGATACAAACTCAAGGTTAATCACACCAAACTTGACTGCAGGAAATTTCGACTTCAGCAACAGAGTGGTCAATGTCTGATATACTCTAACTGACTCTGTGGTTTCTTCCCCAAACCCCAAAAACCTTAACCTTAGACTGTCTACTGCACCCCTTTCCTAAGAGTTCTGTAGGTGGCGTGCATAAGCAAACCAACATGCCTACCGTCCCTGTCCTATTGTTTCTTTTTTTTTTATTTTTTTTATTTGTATCCATGTATTCATAACTTTGTTTTTACTTATACCTATTGTCTTATAAGCAATTGACAAAACAAACAAACAAACAAACAAATAAATAAAACATTAGCTATGACTCCTGCATAACCCACTGGAAGTCTGACAATAACCAATAGATTACCTTTCTGGCACAAGAACAGGAAGCTCAAGGGCAAGGCCCAAGTGTGGGTGTAAATATCCCCCTTCTCAACTCCATGGGTCAGCTGCACTAGGACTTCAAATCCATGTGATCCTGTCCACCAATAAACCTTCTTTTCAACCAGCCTCAATGCTTCTAATGTCTTTCTCCCCACTTGGAACTGAACCCAGATGGATATTTCTTTCAAAAGAAAATAATTAAGGAGTAAAAAAATAGTAAGAAATTTCAAAAACATCTTCATCAATGACATGGACAATGGGGCAGATGGGGAACTCATCAAATTTGCAGATGACACCAAGCTGACAGGAATAGCCAACACTCCAGAAGATGGGCTTAAGATATAGAAGGATCTTGACTGACCTGAACATTGGGCGCCATCTAACAAAATGAAATTCAAAGATGAA